GTTGATTGAAAGCTTTGCAGGGTATAGTAGTCTGGGTTGACATTTGTGATCTCTTAGAGTCTCCATGATACTTGTCCAGGCCCTTCTGGCTTTCATAGTTTCTGATGAGAAGTCCGGTGTGATTCTGATAGGTCTACCTTCATATGTTATTTGGCCTTTTTCCCTGGCTGCTTTTAATATCTTTTCTTTGTTCTGTAGATTTAGTGTTTTGATTATGATGTGACGTGATGTGTTTCTTTTCTGGTCTAGTCTATTTGGAGTTCTGTAGGCCTCTTGTATATTTATGGACATCTCTTTCTTTAGTTGGGAAAATTTTCTTCTATGATTTTCTTGAAAATATTTTCTGGACCTTGGAGCCTGGAGTCTTCTTTTTCATCAATTCCTATTATTCTTAGATTTTGTCTTTTGATAGCGTCCTTGATTTCTTAGATATTTTGTGATTGGAACTTTTCTGATTTTACTTTTTCTTTGAGAGAAGTATCAATTTCTGCAAGTGTGTCTTCAGCTCCAGAGATTCTCTCTTCCATCTCTTGTATTCTGTTGGTGATGCTTACTTTTGTGGTTCCTGATCTTTTCTCCAAGTTCTCCAGCTCAAGGGTTTTCTCATTTTGTGTTTTCTTTATTGATTCTAATTCTGTTTTCATGCCTTGCACCATTTCTTTCATCTGTTTGAATTTGGATTCCTGCCTCTCTACGATGGTCTCTATTTCCTTGTTCATTTCCTTTTTATATGCCACTAATTTTATCTCTACTTGTGCCTCTATTTGTTTGGCTATGTTTGCCTGTGTTTCTTTAAGGCTTTTGTCTATTTCTCCTTTCTTTACCTCCAATTGACTGGCCAACTCGTTGAAAGATTTGTTCATTTCCTCATTATAAGCCTCAAATAATTGGGTAAGCATGGCTTTAAGGTCATTTTCCTGTGCTTCTGATGAATTGGAGTATCCATCAATTTTGAGGTTTCCTGGTGAAGTCATGATGTCCTGATTTATGTTGGAAGTGTTCTTTCGCCTACCCCTGTCCATTGGCTTATCTGAAACCTTCCCTGTTTGTTTTTGGATTCTGCAGATCAGACTGGTACTGTCTCTCTCTGGCATCTGGAGAGTTCTTCAGCAAGCTGAGAGAGGTCCTGTGTCCTTAGCGTGTGCTGAGGACTAGCTGTCCCTGTGGGAGAAAAGTATGCAGGCGCAGACGGGGCAAATGCAAGTGTGTGTGTGTGTGTGGAGGTGTGCGTGGACGTGTATCTCAAGGGAAAGAGTGATGGCTAATGTTGAACCCTTCAGTGTGTGGGAGAGGCTCTGCACTGTATATGTCCAGGCGCTAGTGATGATTGCAGCGCAATTTCTGGCATTAACTGCCTTAACTCCTCAATTAGACCCACACAGCAGGAACTTCAATGTCCCAAGTGCCCCTCTGTTTCCCAAAGTGGGTATATGGGTGGGAGGGGGTTCGATGCCTGGCTTCTGTTTTAGAAGGACCCAGGATCTGGGGATCTGCAGATTCTCAAGGGTGCACTCATTTACAGGCAGGTCACTTGGCAGAGATCAGGGTATCCAGGCTCTCTGCTCTCTGGTTTGGCCCTGCTTCTTTGATGTGCTCCACCAGCTCCGTGCTGCTGTCACTGCCAGGTTATGAGGTCTTGCTGCAGCATCAGTGATCGCGATCCTGCGGAGCTAGTATGGCGTCTAGCAGACTTGGGCCCTGGGAGAATGGTGCAGCCGCCACGTGGATCTGGGACTCTGAGACGGGTACTCTTATTTATAGGCTTAACATAGTCACTATTTTATTGTGAAAATTTGGATCCAAGCCTATGATTTTCATCAGAAACTATAATGAAGTAGCAGAATGTTTCAGCTGCTGGTAGAAAAATCAGTATGAGTGAGTTATAGGAAAGAAGAATGTATGGCACATTATGGTAGCAGTAGTCACATTTTTACAGATAGGTAGGGGTCTGTGTGTGTGTTTTCAACACTGCTACTTTCACTTGCAAGTAGACAGAAAAACATACAGGCATATTTGACTTTTTAATAAAAAAAAATTCTGCCATCACAACCAGGTTTGCACAGGTCTGGAATCTTCTTTCTGCTTCTTCCTACAGGTCCAGTTGAAAACATTTTATTGGAAAGAAGTAAGCACAGTCAAGTTGCCTTAGACTTAAGAGTTTCTGGGTTTCGTCCTTGGAGGAGTTCGGGATCTTCCCAAGGCCTCGGACCTCGAATATTCTTCCAGTCTTCAAAAGTAGAGTCCTTTATTTTCTATAAAACCACAAAGTCCAACACATTAGTTCAAAAGCCCAGTGGCTTTGCCTGAGGCATCACTAAGTACTGAGCAAGTAAAGGAAAACCCAAAAGGCTCCAGGACAGTTCAGCAAACAGACCACCTCCAAGCCAAGCTCAAGGACTTCTTGGGGTTAGAACGATACTTGTTTGCTTTAGAGACATCACATCTATCTTTGCCCATAATAATAAGCTCTTAGTGAAAGGGGGAATCTACACTCTTTCTGAGAGCACTAAAAAAGGAAGAGCCTGGAAAACCAGGGTCCATGTGAAGCTGCTCTAGCCTAGCGATAGCTGAAAGGCTGGTGTGGGTCCCAGTGGAAAAAAGAACTAAGGTGCAGACCCTGGTGTCTTCACAAAGAAGATGGCAACCAAACTGACTTGTCCTGCACCTGAGAAGTGAGCGACACTGGGCTTCAGAATGAAGTCATTCTCCACAGTGAACCTTAGGAAAGTATTCGTCTGTAAGCAGAACTATTCAACTACACTATAAAGCATCCTAGCCTCACTTAGTCTCAGCCGTCACAAGCACAGGAAGGAGACAGGAGAAAATGGATGGACAGAAAAGGTCCTTTATTCTCTCCAATGGTCACTTTTATATACTTGCCTCTGTTCTGAAATAACTAAGGAGGGGAGAAAAAAGGCTATGAGATCAATAGGTTATATCCAGACATGGAGAAAGTGGTGTATGTTTCCTTTGACACTTAGATACGAGGTACTCACTCTTTTACTGACTAGCTATGCAGTCTTTACCATGTAGCACAGGCCACCTTGGCATCATCTCTCTTACAAGTGATCACTAGAAGGTGAGACAAAATGCTGTATATTCTGCTCTTAACTTTTATGATTCCTAAAAGAACTACACAGAAAATGTACTCCAGATAAACCTCCACAGCACCGCTGCACACACAGTGCTTACTTCCTCAAGCACACACCCCATGGTTTCAACCAAATGGCAAGAAAGCACTAAGTAAAAGTGGTTTTCTTGAAGTCAGGAGCAAGTAGTAAATATATACGAGTATGCAAAATGTTATTAATTTAGCATAAGTATTTTCAAGTATGGTTATGTGTAATGAAAGTTTTGCTGTCTTTTAAAACTCAGTTATGTTATAGAAATATGTTTTTGTTTTAATTACAAGTGTGGGAGTTTAGTTTGGGCTTCAGTTTGTCCACGGTTGATAACTGTCTTGTGTCAGGCATAGTCGCGGTCTTTGACAGCTGGTAACAACCTGTTTTGTGTGGCAGGGAGAGGAGTGTGGTCTAGGGCTCTGTGGATATAAATAGGAGGGCCCAGAAAGAGAAAGTGTGGCTTTTTAGAGAGTCCAGAGGACAAGCGGCTTGGAGATAAATACAGAAAAACATTTCAACGTGGCAGCTTGGAGGAGACTGCTTGCTGCATTCACTGTTGACAGAGAATTGGTATAGCCCCAAAAGAACCCTCTGACCCTAAACAAGCCGAGAGAGGTAAAGGGCTCTTCGCTCCCTCTCCCCACTAACTTTCTCTCTTCTACCTAGGAACTCCAAATAAACAGAGTTTAAAAATGAATACAATAGTTACGAAATGATGAAAAGCAATGTTTCTCAACCTTCCTAACACTGCAATCCTTTAATACAGTTCATGTTGTGGTGACCCTCTACCATAAAATTATTTTTGTTGATACTTCATAACTGTAACTTTGCTACTGTTATGAATTGTAATGTAAATATCCGACATTTCTCATGTTCTTAAAGGGGTCACAACCCAAGGGTTGAGAACCACTTATCTAAAGGACTTAAAGGGCCTGTTTGTTTGTTTTGTTTGTTTGTTTTTTAAACACAGTCTACATAACCCGGGCTAGCACTAAATTCACAGTAGCCTAAGCAGCAATCCTAGTGCCTTGGACTCCCCAGGTTCTAGGATAACAAACATGTGATAACATTCCTGGCAAAAGGTATTAATTGAGTAATGACTGTTATTCAGATATATTAAAGTATATATGCTGATAAATATTTACAATAATTCTTAAGATGTGAGGTTGACAAGACAAAGTCATATAAATGTGTGTCTTTGGGAGCCATTTACAGGAAGAACTCCTTGTAGAAAATATGCAAAACATGCAGCTGGCTGAATGCCAGACTGTGCACATATGCTAGGCAAGACCCAAGTCTCACAATCTAACCCCCAATGCCGTAGGACTGAATGAGGAGCATAGGACATAGTAGAGAAATTCATCAGAAACTGGACACTGACCCAGTCAAGCATAGACCTCTCCTCAGTATTCTCTTGCTACCCTGACATCCAGATAAGACATTGAAAGGCTACTGTTGCTCAAGAATAAAACTTACTTTTGATTCACAGCACCAAATTTAAAGCCAAACCTCTGGCAACACCTTCTGGTGTATATGTGTGTAGTCTGGAGGAGTGTAATTAAATTACGAGGCCTATCAAGCTACCGGACACAGGAAACGATAGAGCTTGTCCCCAGATTCCCCTTTATAAAACGAAACAAACAAATGAAACAACAAAAAGCTCACATATTTTGTAACAGCTCAGATATGGAGTGCTCCACTGCTGAAGTCTAAATGAAAAACTCTTTAATCTCGATCACTTCTGGTTCCAGATTTCAGATAATTTACCAAAATACCACACATTCAAATTAATTTTTTCTTCACTAATTTATCTTGAGAAACAGAACCAATCATGACTAGTAAGACTCTTACAAAACATAGAATATCAACATACTATACCTCATACTCTGACTCTAAAGTTATTTTGTTCACTTTCAACTTTTTCTCCAATTCAGGATCAATCTGTAGAAAGGAAGGGGGGAAAAAAGCATATATTAATTAATTCTTTTCCATTTTCACTTGAATATTTGTCCACTTTCTACATTTAAAAGTCATAGGAGAGCTGAGTCTGATGGTGAATGCCTTTAGTCTCAGCACTGAGGAGGCAGAAACAGGAGGATCAGCCTGTTCTACATAGTGAATCCCAGGCCAGCCAGGGACACAGTGACACTCTGTCTCAAGCAAACAAACAAACAAAGTCATGGGAAAGATGGCTAAGATAATTCAGCCAATTTAAGCATACGCCAAAATCTCTACTATCCACTGTGGTAATTAATGCATAGTGATAATTAATACACAATTCCAGCCACTGATACAGTGTATATAGTGTATACACTGAGAAAGTATACTCAGTATATAAAGCATGCAGTATACTTTATACCCTGAGCATCTGTTGTGTGCCAGGCATTTGTATATGCATATATTGTTTAATGCTCACAAAACCTGTATGATGAACATGAATTTCATCTTCATTATTACATGTAAGGGAAGCAAGGCACAGGAGCTTGAATAACTTGTGAAAGATACACATGTTAGTGTTAAGCATTGGCCCTCTGCCTCCAGAGGCAACCTTATTCACCACCAATGTAAATTTTGTTGCACAGATATATTTAAAATGCTACTATATAATGCACTTGAAAAACAAAAGAATCCCCTCAACAGACCAAATAAAGAATTAGCTATGGAAAATTTGGGGTTCCACAGGGACACTTTGAAACTTGTGCTTATTACCTGTAAGTGACAAAGAAGAATGTAACTGGTGAAACAAACAAGACAAAGTAAATGAAATACCTGAGTATGAGTGACTTAACAGAGTCTATGAAAAAGTAGTAAGGCAGGGATATAATCCCAGAATTCCATTACAATGATGTATGGATAGAGACAAATGAGACAAATCAAAAAGGGGTATTTTGTGACAAATAGATCCAAAAATCCCAACATTTGTGTGCCTGGGGTTCCAGAATGGTATCAGTGCTATTGAGCAAGTCAGATTAAAATGTTCAAAGAAGTCAAAATAATTTATAAAACAAACAAATAAATAAACAAAATTAACAAAAAACTCAATTAAGTCTTCAGTTTAGGGATCAACAGGAAAAAAAAAAATCTCACTATAGAAAGAAGGTTTCCAAGAGCTGAGAATTGGAGTTGAAACCAATTTTCCCCCTTTGCTCCACTTGCCAAACCTGAAAAAGAGTATGGCCTCATCACCAAGGATTAATGTTACAGCCGGCTAGCACATGCTTCCTCTCTTCTAGGAAACTTATGGAAAAAAATAAAGAGAGAAAGGAAAAGGATTATTGGAAATGTACATTGGAAAAGGGGAAGGGGAAAGGGGGCATAAGAAAAGGTAATATGGGAGTGAATATTATCAAAGCACATTACATACATGTATGAAAATGTCATAATGAAGCCTATTACTTTGTACAATTTATATGGTAATTTTAAAAGAAGAGGAACCAAGGCTGGAAACAAGGTAGATGCCACTCCTGGAGGTTAGAGAAATTATCACACAGAGCTATAAAGACAAAAGCAGAAAGCAAATGATACATGACAGAAATTTATCTCTCAAAACAATTACTAAATTAGTAATTACTAAATTCCTAAATTCTAAACTCCATAAGACAAGAGTATCTAGCTAAGCTGGAAATCTCTAAAAAGTAGAAATGAGTTTCCTAGTGTACTAACTGAAAGTCATACAGGGTCAGATCTGAAGAATAAGGAAGAACCAGGGATGTGCTAATGCCAACTTGAACTTCAACCAAACCAGGACCCAGATCACACTCAAGTATTAAAGGGACTAGACCCCACTCTACTTGCCTAGAAAAAAAATGATAAACTGTTTTTGAAGGAAAAACAATATTACCTAGAACCTTTACAGTTACCTATAAACAATAATATTTAACTGAAAATAATTATAAGGCATTCAAAGATAAAATGGTATAGTCAAAATGAAGAAAAAATTAATAATTATATCCTTATAGGAGATGGAAATTTTAAGTAATTATAATTCACAAAGTGTTTAAGTCACTGAAAGAAAAATGGATAAAATATGACATTATGGAAAAATTTCTCTAGATTATTGAAAAACATAATATGAGAATTAAGTGAACAGTTTAGAAGTGAAAAATGTGTATCAAATCACAAAGTTAATGGACAGGTTTAGTGAGAAATCCTACATAACAAAAAACAGATTTAGTGATTAAAAGAGAAAAGAGCAGAGAGACTCTAGGGATGGATATATAGACAAAAAGCGTTAGGGATACATTAGCAGGGTAGTCTGCAGCTCATTCGGGCCACAAACTTACACAGGTTAAAGTCCACTCTGTAGTTCTTACAGCCCATGAGCTTATGCATAGCGCACGCCATCACTCTTAACTGCTGCATGCAGTTAAGCACAGTTTCACAGTACACACTAAAACTCTTGCAGCCCCTGAGCTTAGACATAGATCAATAATACACTCTATGGATCTTAAAGTGCCACGGAGGGAGCAGAAAGAAAACTGAGGAAGAAAGCATTTTACAAAACATCAACCTTTTGTTTTATGTGTTCCATGGTTTTGCTTAAAGTCCTCAAAGAATTCAAATGACAATTTAAAACTCCATTTTTTTTCTCCACATTAGCGTACCTAAGAGTTAAGAAAAACACTTCTTGCTTCCATGATTTAACATTAATCTTTCTTTCATTCTGCTAGAAGTCAAACCCAGTGCTTTCTCTGTGTTAGGAAAGTGCTCTACCACTGAACTCCACCCCCAGGTCAAGCTATCCCTGTGTATAACAGAAAGGATGACCCTTGATAAGACTGTGCAAGACCAACTGTGTTCTTGAGGGCAACAATATATCTAGTGTTAGAACTTCCCCTTTTGCTCACCACTAGATTATATTTTGGTTCTACCTCATGAATTAGAAAAATAGAATTTTAATAAGTTTTGTAGATCAGGCAAAAAAAAATAGTATAATAAGTTAGTGTGGTATGCACAAGCTAGCTTAAGATTTACTATTTGAGGTTAAGTACTGGCGTCTTAAAATGAACCAATTTAGGACTGATTTGTAAGTACTTGCCTATCTCATCCTGTATATGTGGGAGTCAATCTTCATATGTGTTCTCATCCCTGTGTCTAATACACTACACCCAACTGCAATTTCTTTTTGAATACTGTGCAGTATGCTGTTTTGGTTATTTAACTCCCTAATCTAGCTGTGTGTGCCCTTCATCATCTGTCAAGTAACAGGATTATTTGGCTTTCTTTTCCAGTGATGTGTGGATCATATAAGCACTGCTATTATGATTATTACTTTTATTATCTGATCTTGAAAATAGAATCCCAATATTTACATTAAATATTAAGCTACTACTATCTTGTTAGGAAGCACAATAAACAGGCAAGTCAGAGACTGTCCTAGTCACAAATGCATGCATTTAAACTGCATGCTTGCTCATATTACTTGGTTTAATGTAGCAACAGAGGGTCCATTATCACAGTGAATGACATTTGTATCTATATATGATGGTACATTGCGTATTATTATTTAGAAAAGCCTCCAAATATCAGGTATGTGCTCCCTCTCCCCAAATTACAACACCCTTCTCAATTAATGAACCAGAGTTCTTGTGTAACACATTGCATAAATTTCACAGTGAAAGTGTAATTACAGAGGGTGAGAATACTAGCTCTGCCCAGGAATAGCCACATAACTATATAGCTATAGACAGTACAGTTTTCTGGGCCTTTGTTTCCACACCTGTAAAACAGAAGACCTAGTATACTCATACAACAATGCAGATACTATAGAAAGATAGGTATCTTTATTTATAATAAAAATACTTTACTTTAGTATCAGTTACTAAAGAGAAATGGCAGTGTATTTACAAAATCACCGGCATTACATTTTATAATTAGAAAAATAAAATGAAGTAAAATTATTGATCCATGTTCTTTAGTTTCTTAAAAATATAAGAAACAAATACATCTGAGAATATTTGGGGGAACTATTACAACAATATTACAAATTCCCTAGTGAATGCAGAAAACTGTTACCAAATGCTTTAAATTCACTTTCCTGGACTCATTAGTGATATTTTAAACAAGAGGGGGTGCAAAGACTACCTATTGGGTTTGCAAGACAAGTCAGATTAATAAATCTAAGTGAACCGAGCATGTACTTCTCCTAAACTGAAACACATACATTCAGACACAAGTCAAACACCAATTACAGCTCTTACCTTAATCTTCACAGCATCATATCGGATTTGTGAAAATTCACGAAGACCAAAAGAACCTCCAACAACCAGCAACTGAAACAAAGGAAGGGAATAGCTATACAAAATAGAAGGGCAGACTCCACTTGGCTACATTCAGTTAAACAATGAAGACTATAAACAACCTACAGAATATTTTTCCTAGAAAATTATTACTTATCTTTTAAAAGTAGATGTGTTGGGAGTTACTTTCAAAGGCATTCCAGTGACACCTGAAACCTGGACATATATTGAACCCTATGGGCACATATTGAATTCATTATGGTTTTTCCTATACATATAACAAAGTTTAATTTTCAAAACAGGCATAAAAAGATTATCAACAATAACTAATAATAAACTACAATGATAATATATTGTATTACATGTCATTTAAAGCTTATGGGTTTGTTTGTTTGTTTGTTTATTTGTTTTTGGACAACTGACAAGCAAGTGAAACCTCAGTGAGGACACTATATTATCCTGGATAAATTATACAGATCATTACTGAATGTTCTAAATCAATACCAGAGATGTATTTGACTTTCCTTGTTTGCTGTTTTTTGAGACAGGGCATGGTGATTTGAATAAGAATGGCCCCCAAAGGCTCATATATTTGAATGCTTAGTCATCAGGAAGTAGCACACTTAAAAGGATTTGGAGGTATGGTCTTGTTGGGGTAGGTGTGGACTTGCTGGAGGAAGTATGTCACTGGGGGCGGTCTTTGGGGTGTCAGAAGCCCAAGCCAGGTGGCTCTCTCTTCCTGCTGCCTGCAGATCCAGATGTAGAACTCTTGGTTCTTTTTCCAGCAGCATGTCTGCCTGCTTGCTGCCATGCTTCCCACCGTGAAGACAATGGATTAAACCCCAGAAACTGTAAGCCAGCCCCAATTAAATGTTTTGCTTTATAAGAGTTGTCATGGTCACGGTGTCTCTTCACAGCCACAGAACAGCAACTAAGGCACAGTGTCTCCTTAGCCAAGATGGCCTTAAACTTGCTCTGTGCCTGAGGATCACCTTAAACTTCTGAGTCTCCTGCTTCCAAACTCAAGAGGAAATAAAAGCACACCCAACTAAATGATAGACTAATGTTAAGTAGAGTTTGGAGTGAAGCGGTCTCAGTACTTAAGTTCCTTTAGAGATTTTGTAACCTTAGAAGGTAAACAAACAGGAATGCCATTGGTCAACTAACTGATTAGACCAAGTCAAAAAATGCAAATGTCTAACTCTAGCCAATTAAGTTACTTTTGTAGTTTTTTTGTCTATAAAATCTCACTGCCAATGTAGCAGGACAGAACTCTCCGAATCTCTTTGGTTCTGAGTGCTGCTCAATTCAGGAGCCTTGTTTTTTTTTTTTTGTTTTGGTTTTGGTTTTTCAAGACAGGGTTTCTCTGTATAGCCTTGGCTGTCCTGTATTCTATTTGTAGACCAGGCTGGCCTCAAACTCACAGTGATCCGCCTGCCTCTGCCTCCCTGAATGCTGGGATTAAAGGCATGTGCCACCACTGCCTGACTTCATGAGCCTTCTTTGCTCACACAGAATTGGTAAAATTTGTTTTGCTTAAAGTTTTTCCTTTTTTAATATTTATTTTAGCATTTGTGTATACATGCATGTGTGTGTGTGTGTGCACGTGTGTGTGTATGTCTATGTACGTGCGGGTACATGGGATGTCATAAGAGTGCATCTGATACCCTAGAGCTAGAGTTACAAGCAGCCCAATATGGGTCTTGGAAAAACTCTTGTCCTCTGAAAGAGCAGCCAATAGTCTTACTCAGGGAACTACTTTTCTCACCCTTCAAGATTTCCTTTTAATACTAAAACTACATAGGATAAATGTGAAAATAAAACTCTGGTCTTGTCTGTGCAGAATTTCTTTCAGTTTCATAATTTTACAAAATTGGACATTGGAAAACATTCTCTTTTATTTTCTTATCAAGTGATAAAGGAGTCTTGCAGCTCATGCCACATTTCTCAGTATGCAGAAACCCTTAAAAAGAGCTTCCAAACTGCCACTGCTACTTTGCCTGAGTCCCACACGGCTATAATTCCCACATCAGAGATGCAAAAGCTTAGCCATTGGGGGGGGGGGGGGGAAGCTTGATCTCTATATCACTGATTAAATAATTAAGTATAGAAGTATAAAAACATGAAGCATAAATTTTAAAATCTGAAGTTCATAAAAGCAACCAACTTCACTGTTGTAACTTTGAAACTTCTGAAAAATGAAAAACAAAACTAAATGAACTCAAAAAACAACGAAACCCACAAACCTACACACCTATGCACATGTACACATACACCTACACACACACACATGCAGACACACACACATACACATTCACTCACATACACACACTCACATATACACACTCACACACATACACACACATACACACACAGATACACACTGGTAGGGGGTAAAAAGCAAAACAAAAAATCATAAAAAAAAAAAAACAGCACTAGATTTACAGTCCTGTGTTACTTGATCAGTAGCTCAACTAGAAAACCTGCTCCGTCTTCACCTCGATGCTTTTCTTCTCTCTAAGAATTTCTCTTCTGCTGCTTCCTCTCTTGCAATCTAGAGACTGATCCTCTTCTCAAGTTTTAGGGCCCTTCATTATGCCCCTTTGACTTGTAGATAAAAAGCTGTCACAATGAAAAGTTTATATTTAACAATTATACTTATGAACTATTCCTGGCTACCTTTTTTTTTATTTGTGATTACATAAGACTGATAGAAAATGGATGCATCAGGCCACCTTCATATATACATATAATATGTAATTATGTTATGTATACATTTAATATGTAAAATAATAATTAAAGAAGTGGTGTGACAGCACACATCTTTAATCCCAGCACTTGGGAGGCAGACGCAGGTGGATCTCTGTGAGTTCAAGGCCAGTCTGAACTATAAAGTGAATCCAGGACAGGCAGGGCTACATAGAGAAACTGTGTCTTGAAAAACCAAAACAAAACAACAACAACAAAAGAATCTGAGAGAGAAAAGGGAATCACAGGAGAAGTCGAAGGGAGAAAAGGAGGGATGGGAATGATGTAAATACAGTACTTATCTATGAAATTCTTAATATATATAATTTTTATATAAAAAGAATGCTATTTTATGTAAACACGAGGGGTGTGTGTGTGTGTGTACCAAACAGAAATGAATGGTTAACTAAACACCATGAGGTAAAAGGTCATAATGAATAATTTCATCTAAAGAAGTTCTCATGTGACTGGAGGCTTCCTCAGTGTTGTTCCAGAGCACAGCTGACTACAGTGTGATAAAAACAGAACGGGAAAGCTTCAGAACTCAAAAAGAGGTTCCCTCAGATCACCATAGGACACGCTCTTTCCTCAGGAAACGGCATGGGGAAACAAATTAGGCGTAAGAGTTTTGCCTAGACAGGACTCCAGAGCCTCCCTTCATAGCACAATCTGACCATTTAAAAACTGCGAAAGAAATATCTGTGAAGGAGTCTCCTTCTTGCTGATTAGCTCTGAAAATAGAGCAGGAAAGTAACTCTCCTCACCGTTAGATTTTTTTTTTTCTTTCAATAAACATCATGACTTTTACGATTCTGAAAGGGAAGAAAATCAAATTGGCTCCCATAGTGACAGACGGGTGCAAGTCAGTGGCTAAAATGAGTGTTTCTGAATGGCAGAGGAAATTGGAGAAAACAAATTTCACACATTCCTCCTCCACAGAAATTGCTGTCATTTTATAGAAACGAATGCTTATCCTAAAACTCTTAAAGCAGACTGCAGAGTTTCCTAAAGATGAAAACAAAATCAGGACACATCAAAAACTAAAAACCCAATTACATTTCTAAAGTCAACCTCTTTATTTTAGTACTACAAATGCCAGGGACTTCACGTGTGCTAATAGCCACACCAAAACATAAATGTGTGTTTTTAAAAGCTGTTCTTAAGATATCGGCGTGTGCTGAAGCAAATCAACTTGTCAATGATCAAACAACAAATGATCATAATTATTGGGGCTCGGGCTGACTGGTCTTCTGCCAATCTCTAACTTTAGCCCCAGGAAAGCTCACTGTAAAACGGGGATAGTAACAACACACACGTTCGTGAAGGGAAAGGAGAGACGGGAACCCGAGAAACACTTTTGAGTGTATACTAGGAAAGAACCTAAAAGCTCTCATCTCTCGCAGCCGCCTCCAAGCACAAGCCCCTGCCACTGGACCCCTAAAGGCAGCACTCAGACGTCAGTCACGCCAGGAGGCCCCGCCCCTCCCGGAGGCCCCGCCCCACTAGTGCGACAGTCCACTCACCAACATGGGGACTCCGTAGCGAAGGGTCTTGTTCTTCCGGAGGGCACGCAACACCGCGGGGGCAACCATGGCTGAAGCTGCGGCCGGCTTAGCCGTTTCCGCAGCGGCCCCAGCGCGGCCCCCGGAGCCTTCTCAGGTGACGCTGTAGACTCAGCACCGGCTCTGCGGGCCCGGCCCTCGACTGATAGGCCTCCGCAAGTCAAAAGTAATCGCTCCGTCGGAACACTCTCGCCGCCTACGTCCCTGCACCCGGAAGTAGAAGCCGCTGGGCGTTAGTTCCGGCTACTCCCGGTGCAGTTGCGTTTTCGATTTGGAAAAAACCTGTAGTTCGCATGTTCTGGATCATAACTAGCGTCTTCCAGCTCAATAAACTCAGCTAACGGGCAGGGTAAATTCCGAAGCCTATGCACAAGTAGCGTGAATTCTTCACTAGGTTAATGAGGACTTTTTAAGTCCTGGCTCATCAGTTATAACTGAACCTTTAAATTATTTTACTGTGCGATAGCCTATAGTTAATGAATGCCTGTTTTCCATTATTTAAGCAACTTTACAACCTGTTTGTGAGCCTCTGGATGACTCAAGGAACACAAGAGGCCAAAAATTAGAAACAGGACATTTTATGGGGACACCAGCTAAGGCTGAAAGTACAATAGCTTGGATGAACAAAACACCCACTGTCATTTTCCAGGAAGAGCCAGAGAAAACCTTTGCACGTGCCTCTACTCCGATGCCACTGAAATGCTTCTGGTGTAGCCTCACAAACAGTGGCCACAGGAGAAGCTCTGTCTTTTTATGCTTAGGCTAACATCCATGCCAGAGGAAAAGAGGTCATAAAGGGGAGGGGGAAAGTGATCTTTCACTGCACTGGAAGACAGGTTAATACATAGTAAGATTCTCTTGTCTTTGCCTCCACCATTCACTACAATTTTCTTAGCAAGCTTTAAAACCCTTTGTTAAAAGACTTAAGTCTGTTGGTGTTTTCAAGTTTTTGTTTTTGGTGGTGGTGGTGGTTGGTTGGGTTTTATTTGGTTTTGCCACTCTTCATTGCATTTTCCATCCTGGAAGACATTTCTTACTGAATAAGCCATGAATTTACACACCTTCAATGTGCACCTCTTGGGACACAGTACTTGAAGTGCACCGTACTCTATGGCGAACATAAATTTTTCCGTCCTCAACACTCCAGTAGTCTTTGACATACAACTTGCAACACTGTATTGCATTAGTATAAAAGCATTACCAGTGTTACTAGCATACAATCAAGAAAACAGGATAGCAACACTATTTCAGAGTGTGAATTTTAATATAGGAGGAAAGAAATCACTTGCATTGATCCAAAGGAAGCTTTGATGTGTCCAGGACAATCTTTATTAAAGTAAGGCTTTTTGCTAATCCCTTCCCTCCCTGACTGTTTCTTCACTTGGCTGTGGAAGAGTGAGCTGCAATTGAGGGAGTGAAGGAGTAGCTGGCTGGGCTGTCTTAAACTGAGAGGTTAAACAACACAGTTGAGAATACTAGAAGAAATTTGTGTGATTTACTGCAAAGAGTCTGGAGCAGAATTTTGGACTGAAGGAGGAGGTTTGTAATGGCAAGGGTGCAATAACTTATGAATGGAGTCTCCTGCAAAGCTAACATTTTCCTTTTGGGCTGTGTTGATGCCCCTGCCTCTGGAGCACTAGGGTAACAGGTATATGCCATTATGCCCTGGATTAATCATCTCTGTGCAAAGATGAAACCATAAGGGGCTGCAAGATTTATTAATAGTGTGACATGTGCACTTCCATGCTGCATTGGCTTCATCTTATTCATTTCCTTATGACATTTCAAAACTCATGCAATGCTTAAGTGTATTGTTTTCTCATTTCATCAGACATTAGAAATCAAGGGGCCTGGTTCCAAAACTCTGGGCATTTTCTGACCTCCTCACTGCATAAAAGATCCTCTTTCTGAGTCATACTCCAGCAAAGCCCTGCACCCAACTAGTAGTTAATAACAGGATTAGTCAGTATATATATAAAACCAGTAGTCTGTTATCCTTTTCATATAAGGCATATATACAGATTCATACAGGTTAACAGGTTTGTCCAGGTTACACTCTGTCAGATAGTACAGATATCCAAATACAACTTTCTGTAGAGTCGACTATTGATTACCTCATTTATAGTGGCTTCTATGGATTTTTTTTCTTTTTCTTTTCTATTGATATTTTATGATCCTCTCCAACTCCCAAACCTTCCTTTTTGTTTCAGTCTTGTAAACCCTAAGTTAGAATCTTTAGTCCTTGTAATAAATCTTAAGTTAGAGCCTTAAATCCTCGAATGAGAAACAACCCCATAGGATCAAATGTTTGAATAACTTGGTTCCCAGTTGGTGGAACTGTTTGGAGAGGATTAAAAAGTGAGGCCTTGTCAGAGAGGGCATGTCACTAGATTTGGGCTTTGAAGTTTCAAAATCCCATGCTGTTCTCAATCTCTCTGTCCTCCATCCCTCTCTCCCTCTTCCCCCCCTCCACCTCCCCCTCTCTCTGTACCTTATGCTTGTGGATGAAATGTAAGCTCCCAGCTACTGCTCCAGTGTCATGCATTCTGGTCTGCTGTCATGCTTCCTGCCATGGTGGTTATGGACTTTAATTCTCTGGAACCATGAGCCCAAAAGTAAACTTTTTAAAATATTTTGTCTGGGTCATGGTGTTTTGTCATGGCAAGAGAAAAGCAAGACAGTCCCTGTCCCAGTGACTCAGTGTGTGTGTGTGGGGGGGGGGTGAACATGAATGCTGACATAAGGAGATTTGGGGAGTTAGCTCTCTCCACCATTCAAGTTAACTGACAAGAACCATTAACCCAAACCATCTCGCTGTTCTGTCCCAGTGACTGTCAGACTTCTGTGTGTCTGAGAATCATCTCGAGACAACTAAAATCTGCTCTAGGCCCCATCACCAGTTTCTGATTAAGTAGGTGAAGGGTGGGACCTATGTTATGTTCCTTAACAAGCTTCCAGGTCATACTGAAACTGCTTGTCTAAGGATAACACTGAGGACCTCTGATTTATCTTCTTTCCCTAAAAACATGTTCCTTCAAATACCATCAGGGCAGGGGTTTCTGGTACATTGGTAAAAACTAGATACCATAGCCTCATTCTGAAATCCCTAATTCAATATGCCAAAAAAAAAATCTTATTTTTGTCCTTCTCATCATTCGATGTAACTTCTAAGTAGAACTGGAGTGGTTGAGGTAGGTTTGTTTCAGTTCAGTGCCATTTAGCTAAAAACAGTTTAAAATTAGGTCCTTGGCATGAAGCTAGAAAACTCTTCCTCCTTTTTGCATATTCTCTTATAAAGCTGATCACAAGTACTCACTTGGATCATTCCACTATCACCTTATTAGTTTCTGTGAGATGTGAGCCATAGGGTCAGGTCTACAACATTTCTCTTCTAGGACCTGAGGACTTGCAAATTTTTGGAAAATAACCAGAGCTTCCCATAACATGCTCTACAGGGAACAGTCCCCATTAATTGTTCCCAAACAAAACCAAGCCCTACTCTATAACCTTTTGAGAAGCAAAGTTATCTATTTGTGCAAGAGTACAGACAGCCCTTCCATTACAGACTGATAAATCTAAAAACAATTCAAAGTGTATTGCCATAACGACAGTATTATTGTGATGGCTAATCTGGTCATGTCGCTGGGAGAAAAGTCTTTGGGCATCTCTGTAAGGGAGTTTCTAAATTAGGTTAAATGAGGTGGAAAGATCCATCTTAAATGTGGGCGGCACCACAGTATGAGTGAATAAAAGGAGAGTACCAGCATTCATCACTCTGCTTCCAGATGGCAGACATGAAGCAGCTGCCTCACATTCCTGCTGCATGCTTTGCCTGCCATGGTAGGACTGTCCATCAAACCGAGACAAAAATCCATCCCTTGTTTTTAATTTTTTCATACCAACAAGAAAAGTAGCTGATACAATTACCTCTACCACAAGATTTACCACGTAGAGCACAGATCCATCCAACCTTTCAATTGCCAAGAGCCAAGATCTCATTTAAAAGCTATCAAATTATTGACAATTACCTGGGGCTTCCTTCTCAGGTAGATGAATATGAGATTTGTTGTATGCCAATGGCAAAACGATACTAGTTTTTACATGTATTTGTGTATATATGTGGGGGTGCTGTGTCCCATGGTGCTGTGGGCATGTGGAAGTCAGGAGACAATGTAGGAAAGTAACTTATCTCCTGTTGGAGGATATTTTATCTCATTGTGAACCCCAAGGTTGTGAACTGTAAAAATCTGTATCTTGTATAGTATGGTTCAGCCCCCAACACACACCTTTATGCAAGAACTTTGTGTTTATTGTAAACAGGAGATGATGGTGTGTCCCTGACCTAACACACACCTTTAATCCTACAACTGTCTGTACATAGGAGTTAATAAATATAAGCCTAGGTCAAGAGGAGGAGCAAGAAACCAGTTGACAGGGATTAAGTAGTAGGGAAGGGCATTGAGTTGAAGGATACTTAAGACAGCATGGAGAAATCTTTTTAGCTCTTGAGCTTTTCAGCTCTTTGGGTTTTTTGTTTTTTAGCTTATTGGCTTTTTCTTCCTGGGCTATTGGGTGAGCTAGCAGGCCTTTTCCTACTGAGCTGTCAGCTGAGCTACCAAGCTTTTGACCTTGAGCTTTTGGATTTTGTCATTTTCTTTCTGGGACTTTGGCTGAATAGGAAGATCAGCTGGGTGTTTTCTCTGTCTCTCTGAGCTAGTGGGTTTTCACCCCAGCATCTGACTCGAGTCTTTATCAGTAAAATAAAATGGTTGGGATTTTCTTTCTTTATAACAACACGCTACCTCATGGTATGGAGTCTAGGGATCAAACTCAGATTGTTAAGCTTGGTAGCAGGCACCTTTACTCACTAAACAATCAGACCAGGCTTGAACATTTTCAAGTCAGGTGTGGAAGTGCATAGCTCTAATTTCAGCATCTAGGAGGCTAAGGCAAGAGGATTGTGAGTTACAGGCCAGTTTGGGCTACATAGGCACTTCCAGGTAGACCTATCTTAAACAAACACACACACACACACACACACACACACACACACACACACACAACTGTAGAGAAACATAGTAGAAATCTAAAGACAAATGTTTAATTCTTGCGTTAGGCTGCTGTTATCTCATAATTAACTTTTTGCAAATAAAAGCACTACAAAATTGGCCAGTTTATATGCTTATTTTCTGTTAAGTATTTGAGTGACTTGTGTACAAATTGGTTTTTAAAAGATTGGTCAGATATCACTGTACACATTTCTTAGAAGAATTAAAATATTGATCATATAAAAACAATCCTACTGAACTCAAAAGGGTAATTACTTTTTCAAAGTAACCACTTCAAAATCAAGTGTTACCTCATCAGATCAATCACCAAAGCATTGAGTAAAGTTTATGCAGTGCAGTTTTACATAGAGACATTAGGTCTCAGATTCTCCTCAGGGACAGGATTTAGAAGTAAATGAGAGGTAAAGTGGGGTGGCCTAAAGCATAATGAAATGTTGGGCTTAAGTGAAGTAATCAGTGGTCTGTCTATACATGCTGAATTTCATGGCTCTTTATAGGACATTTGCTCAAAAAGTTGCAATCCAAGCTTCATACTTTGACTCCTTTCAAATTCCATATAACTGGAGATATAACTTCAAAGCTCATAAACCCTACTTTTCTATCTTTAAAATAGGGAAAATGATAGGCTTATCTTAAGGGATTTTTATTTATAACCCTGTGTATTTGTTTGTACTGCTCTGTGTGTATGTGCATGTGAATGCAGATGCCCTCAAAGGCCAAAGGTGTCAGATTCCCTGAAGCTGGAGTGACAGATGGTTGTGAGATATGCAGACTGGGTGTGGTGATTCCTCTGAAAGAGCGGTACATGCTCTCAACTGCTGAGCCATCTCTCCAGCCCTGATACCCTTATTTTAAACAGTGAGAATACTACTGTAAAGTAAATATCCAATATAATTCAGTATTTTCATGTAAATGCCTGAAACTTATGGATGGGGTTCTGGCCATAACATATGTTCACATTCAGTTCTGGCAGTAGTCACTGTTCAATTCACTTTCAAAAACAAAACAAGGGGAAATTTTATAGGATTCTTTCTGGAGGTTGTTGTTTGTATGTGTCCCCTCTCAATGTTATGTGCTCATGTAGGGGTCAAAGTCAGTACTGGCTGTCTTCCTCTCTCTCTACCATATTTCTTGTGGCATTCTCGCTTTGAATCTGCAGCTTTCCATTTTGGCTAGACTGGCTGACCAGGAAGCCAACCAATAATCAGAAGGATCCTGTCTTCTCATCCAACTGTGGGAATTACAGATGAGTACTGTCAACTTTTATGTGGTTAATGGGTAGCCAAACTTAAGTCCTCATGCTTGCAAAGCAAGCCATTACCTACTAAGCCTTCACCCTGCCTGCTCCCCGCCCCCATACACACTGGAGCTATTCTTTAAATGTGTGATGGTTTTCCACTTAGAACTCAAAGAAATCAACATTTGAGATAATTCTTCCATTTTTATTACTTCAGATAAATCTACAATTTTTAGTAATGTTACCCAGTGCCTATTAAGGACAAGTTTAGGTTGTTTGTTTTCATAACTAGTAACGGAACATAGTGTATTTTAGCCATCTATGAACTGCATGTAAAACAGGGATTCTTGGAAAATTTAACAGCTGAAAATTCCTATAGACTAGTATTTTTACTGTATCTTTTCTGTTTAGATATACAAAAGCTTAATAACATGCTATATGAATTTGAAATCTGAGAACAGGCTCAACTTTCTGCATTTGCCTAAGTATAGTTTATGATACTTGAGAGTAGTAAGATTGGCAGTACACTGACTGTATCAATATTAAATAATGCATGACTGTAAAACTTTATTGGAATATAGCCCATGCCTTTTTAATATTCATGGTTGCATTCACACTATAAATACAAATATAGGAACTTCAAACATAAAACATTTTAAAAGTGTGTGTGTGTGTGTGTGTGTGTGTGTGTGCGCGCGCGCGCGCGCGCTGGAGTGGCGGTCAGGGGACAACTTGAGGGAGCCAGATGTTTTCCACATGTAGGTTCCAGGAATCACTGTAGTCCTCAGGCTTGGCAGGTACCTGTACATGCTGAGCCATCTCCCCAACCCTAGTCACTTACTAGGCTTTCTGAGGAAAGGCTTGCTGACTTGATCTCTTGAGTTTGAAGTAAACTGACAGGTCTGGTAACACAACAGCTATGGCTCTGGAGCAAGTTATCTTCTTTAAACATTGAATTATCTTTGCCTATAAAAATGGGACTATTCAAACTGCCTTGTAGTTTTGAGAATCTAATATTGGGAAAGAGCCACAAAATACAGTGTTTAGCACCTGAAAAGTAGAGGCAGTAGATGGTTCTGGTTAGGAAGGTTCTGAAGCCAGGCTGCTTGGCTTTAAAGCCTAGAACTGTGTGACCTGGGCAAGTTTCTTAACCTCTCTGTGCCTTGTGCATCTCATCATAAAATGGACATAACAGTTACTCTAGTGAGTGTTGTAAGCCTAAAGTGAAATGTTAAGGGCTTCAGATAATAGTAGAACATTGGTGAGCACTCTGTAATTGTTAGGCAACTCTGTCAGCAGTGCTACTGTTTACCTATTCTGTCAAAAGTAAGCCTCAAATTTAGTTTCTTTTTCTTTCCTTTGTCCCATTAGAGGTGCTGGCTTAAGAAAGTGACTGAAAAATAAGAAAATACTAATTTAATAGTCTCAAAAAGAATCCAGCACTGTAAACATTCAACAAGTTCAACAGGACTTTACTGAATGTCATAGTTCATAGGCAAATCTGGACACACTGGTATCTGTGAACTTGAAATCGGCATCAACACTGGATGTGTGGTTCCTAGTTAATGTGCCTTACGTCTACTTGCTTTCCAAGTAGCCTGCAGGCATCTAACGTGTGAAACAGCTGCTATTTACATTCAGGGATACAAGGACTTAAAAAGAAAGGAAACAACATAAGGTGTTTAAGGAAAATAATTTTCCAAGAACTGAATGGCTTGGAAGGTGTACAAGTATCTAATTATAAGATATTTATGTTCCAATTAGCATTGGAGACACAGCATTAAAACTGAAACAGGATTTAATTCTGTGTCTTCATTTGCAAATCTGCCAACTAAGAAAAGAATCATCCCATTTTCCTGTGACTAGTCAATATATTACAGTTCTTTTATACCCTGCTGATAAATAACAAAATTGCATTTGGAAACCTACGTCAGTCCTCTTCCCTTCCTTCCCTGTAAATATAGAATGAAGCTAACTCTTACAGGCATTAGTGTTTAATGGATCTAGTCTTCTTATAGCAACAGTGCTTTCTTCTGTCAATTTTTATATTATTAAGTGCATCAGGTCAACAATCACATGCTTTGTATTCTATATATAAGTATCAACACAAGAGTCAATGGTAGCTCAGAATCTGGTTCCCCAGAATCTGGCAGAATTCTTTAAAATGCTGTCTTTTTCTTTTCTTTTATCAGAACTGCACTGTAGGAGCTGAAGGCTGGTCTCAAAAAGGTTCTGCAGTTAAAAGGAACAGCACAGAAGGCTTAGCCTGGGATAGCAGCCAACCCTAAAACTATTCTAAGAGGTAGAGACCTTAAGAACTCATAATATGTACTTACAATGATGTTAAAGAGATATATTAACATCAAAACTACCTGTTCTCAGATACTAGGCTATTTCAGTTTATGACCAAATTTTATGTTTGTACTGGTGGTGATAGTTATCTGCTAAATGAAGGGGGGGAAATCTTTATCTGTACAAAGATATTTTCAACTAAAAGTGAGTAGAATAAAATCTATTGACACACATATACACATGGGGTGGGGGCTGGTGAGTGATCTGGCTTCCAACTCATAGAGATCTGCCTGTTTCTGCCTCTGCCTCCTAAATGCTGAGATTAAAGACATGTACCACCATGCTTGGCCTCTAAATATATTTTAATTGCTTATTTGCACAATAAACCCCAAAACAGCACAAGCAGTTTATATCTAAGATTACTGGAATTAAAACAACTGGGTTTCTCAGTTCAATGTACTCTCCCATTCCAATCTTGATGCCTACAATCGTCTATAGCTGTCTCTCAGTCCTTCTGGTCTTTGTTGAAAGCCCAAAGAGAAAAGAAAAAAGTAAACTGAGATGTTTTAATATGTAGTTTTTCTATGTATCATGTTGTGGACACACTCAAATCTTAGACCAAAAGGGGTAGGAGGCTATCTCCAAGACAGACTGGGTCTAACTTGAAGTTAGCTCACCTTTCTGAACATTATTTTTCTCCATTCTAATACAAATTGTATCTAAGAGAATTTTAGATTCTATCCTATGATTTTGTTCTTATTGCCTGCAAAAGCTGAAGCACTTCCAAACCATATGTGTTCCTGGAGGTTGAGCAGTCTGTCCTTAGTATGCAGGCAAAAACAATCCTCCACTTCTTACTCTGCCTCTGTATCTGGGGCAGAAGCGCCAGAGAGCTGGGCTCTGGGCTTAGGTTCTTGCTTCTGGCTAGAGCTGTATCTGCAGGTGATTTGAAATTTTAAATGCCATGGAACATTTCCAACAGAGGCTACACATTTTGGCCACCTGATGAAACGCATTTTATGGTTGACTTTTTTATAGTGCCAGAGGTTTGTTTTTTTTTATAGACTTATTTAAAGTGCCAGAGGTTCTTATTTAATGCAAGTTGACCAGCTAGCTTTCCAAGTGATTCTAAGCAGAGAGACAGCACCTGACAGTGGTGAATCTCAAGGTTCAGCATTAGTTACCTACAAGATAGAGTTGCTGGTTGCCACACTCATCTCACTCTGTAAGTATGGGATGAGACACAAAATTGGTAATACTGATGCTCTTGTCCAGAGACCTTGCACGAGAACCGCAAGGAATAAGGAATATTACCAATACAATCATCCAAAGTTCTGAGTTTAAATTGGGATTCTATTATTATAACCTATATAATCTTAGGAAAATGATTTTTTTCCCTCATCTTCAGTCTCTTTATAGCAATTTTTAGATCATGGGGTAATACAGAGTGTTACCAATCAGTTTAGTAAAGTCCCTGGCATAAACTGTAATTAAAAACACTATTTTTATCTGTCGATGGTCCAATTAATTATATGAAATCACCCACACAGAAAACTGCAGGAAAAGCAAACAGAAACGACTGAAGCAAGCAATATCTATTAGAATTACATATAATATACAATGATAAATACAAGAAATACTTTTAAGTACAGGGACTTAAAAATACCTACAATCAATTTTCAAAACTTTAAGCATAATTTATGTGGTAGTAGCATCATATATAGTCTATAAGGAATATTAGAGTCGGTCTATAAGGAACATAAATTTTTAATAATCTACAATGGAGTCTTAACACCTCATCTATGATAATTTTAGTTCTCATACAACCAAGAGTGGCATACTAAAGTATTTGCCTAAAACTTAAATGTTTTGTGTAAGTGCTGTTTCTTTCCCAAGGAGACCCAAGTGTATCAGAATCCCTAGCAACCAAAGTAAAACTTCTATCAGTGGTATTTTTTTATTTACATGTATCAACACACAAGTAATCTATCCACCTTGCCATTTGTTTCACTTTGTATGTGTGAAGGTTTTTCAAAATAAATTTTCAAGCCCTGAGGTGAATACCAGAGGTAAGCAAACCATGGGCAGGGCTGATATACATGCTATCAGATACAAGGAGGGTACTGGGCCTCCAGAGTGGTACTGGTTGGAACAAGAACTGGAATATACTTTGTTTTCTGTGAGACTTAATGACTCCTGTTACTAAATCAGTTTCAAAAAGTACTGAATGACTTAGTTAGGTGAAGATTTGTTAAAGCAAATGTCTCCCTGTATCAATAGTTTACCCAAAGGCAAATTGTTTGGACTGTGTAAGATTTTCCATTCTACCATGATGCCATAACACAACAGCTTTCCTTTTCTGAATTCTTTACAACTGCTGGTCATCTGCATATCTTCTTTGTTGGTTCATTGCGCTGTTTTACACGACAACATTTCTTTTCTTAATGGTCTTGTCTATTGTTCAGCCTGATAGACTCTTAACTGTTTAGGCATGCTCTTAGTAAATGGTTAGCGCCTGAAAAGCCTCACCCTGTCCCTTCCTCTATGAAACCTTAAGTACGCCAGTTCTCAGCAGCCATTTTCTTTTGCTGTCTGCAATATAAATAATGTACACTTAACTAATTCCATTTTAAGTGTTCTGTTCCTAACTGTAACCACGATGTCCTTTTGGAAGAAGTCCGTGCATTTTTCTTCTTTGTAAAGTTGTCTTGACGAAACTATTGTGCAATCAAAATTTGTTAAGTAACTGCTAGATTGTCAGGAATACTCATAATCTTATGTCAAAATAATAGTCTAGCCAATGTATTTAAAAGATGGAAATTATTTTAGTAAAGTGAAAAAAAAAAAAAACTAGGTGTGGGTCAACTATCCTCAGCACTCTAAAACCAACTTAAATACTATATCAACAGCTTGGCTCCCACCTCACCAATATCCCTGCTATTCTCTGACATCTATTCATCCACATTGTATTTTCAAGCTTTCCTCAGAAATGCTCACCAAATTTCATTGCCCCCTCTACCAAACAAACAAAACGCATTCCTTCCCCTTCTCTGAAAAATGGTCCATTAACTTGTTAAAACCAAAACTAATCTTTAGAGCTTTTGGGGGTGGGGGAATAAACAGAAAGAAAAACCACAGCAGTTCAGGCCTTCTCATCTGAATTCAATCAGAAGCAGGCTGATTTAGGTTCACCTTACTAGGAAGGCAGTTTCTTCCCTCAGGTTTTGCCTGATACTAGAAACTGAAAACTGTTAAGTAGCTTAGAGGGTTCAAGTGCCCCCGTGAAGCATGATCTTCTTTTTTTCAGTTGTGTTGATGATTTATTTGGCTTCTGCTGCCCATACCCATCCCAGTGGATCTTATTAACAGCACTGTAAAATCCCAACTAGGGTAGTTCAGAGACTGGTAAGACTTACGCTCTGCCAATAGCTCTTGAAGTTTTTCAGTTAATATCATTCCTTAGCACTGTGTATGTTTTTAACTTGTGGATGAAGACTTACAAACATATGTACAAGTAAGCTCTCTTAACAATCAAGAACTCATTGTTCAATATGAATCTTGATTATATATGAAGAAATATGATCCCCTAGTCCCAAAAAACCGTCCATTACAAACCCAGGAACCTGTATAGTTTTCTCACCTCTTTAATTCTCCATAAGGCATCAATGTTATGCTACAATATATGCATATGTGTATTACTGTACATATGTATTTTCTTTTTGAAAAAAAATAAAAACTTCATTTACCTATGTTCAATATAGGCATCTAGGTATATAATTACAAATTAAAGGCCACAAATACTTCCCAAGAAAAGGCATTAAAAGAAAAAAAAAAGAATCAGCTCCTCCTTTCACGTAGCACAGATAGCCTTCAAAGCACGTCAGCTAAGAAAAAGGTGTCATACATGGTGACAGGAAGACTGAGCTTTTCCTCTTTGGGTGATAGCTGAATTTGTATTGGCAGTTCTAGTAAGTATGTAACTTCTCATTTGTTCTAAGCAAGGCTTTTTTTCCCCCCCAGATTTTTTTTTTTTTTTTCAAATAATACCTTTACTGTTCCATTAGAATTTGAAGTCTTGGAGATTTTGAACAGCAAGATTTTGGGTGTTAATCAGTCACCTGAAATCACGTGTTGGCTATTTAGAGAAGAAAGGATACGAGAGAATGTCAGAGAAGGTGAATGAGAAAAATAGTTCATGGGACACACTGGAAGACAGCAGGCACTCAAAGCTGTTTTCGGTATCTCACGAAGGCCCAAACTGCTACCAGGGTGAGGGCAAACACTGGTAACAGCACCATGGCTACAGGAATTCCACTTGGTTCTCCTTCACCTCGATGTACTATAGGTCCGTTCTGCACTGGTAACTGAAAGGGAAGGAGAAATATTAACTCTCACTACTGTGTGCCACAACTAAAAGATCCAAGTTGACAATTACTTGGAGGTGTAGTCTATACCACCCAAAGCTATAAAACCCACAAACCTTCCACCAGAAGGAGCTCCTGTCCTAGCTGATGCATCACTTCCACAGATATTCTGGGAAGAAAATAGTCTGATAGAAAAGCATTTAACCTTGTTTGGTACTGACTTTATGGAACCTCACAGGATAAAGTAGATAATTTCTGTGTCCATAATGTATCTTGCAATATATGCTTTCTATCAGGAAAATGAAGGGACGAAATGAAACCTATGATCCTTTAGGAATTCTGGATATTGCTGAGCAGGAAAAGGGAGAAGGAAGACTTCTTTCTGGAAACATTTACTTACAAAGAATATCAGTCATTAGAATGTAAGAATACCAGATCCAAATTGTGTCAACACAGTTGCAATGACATTACTTGGATATGCTTTACAGCTTTCAAGTCACTATCTTGCTTCTAAGATGGGGTCTTGTCCTTCATGCCTAAGTTTGCAATGCCAGGCACAGATAAAGGTGGAATCTATGTGGAGGAGACTTAGAGACTCAAGAGATAAATAAACTACTACATCCTAGTTATTACCAATTTCCTTTTATACCTAGACTGTCACTCTTCATTCCTGTCCTGTTTTACAGGGTGGCCCCTCCTCAATTTTTTTGTTGGTTAAGTTGCAATAACTATAATGCCATCTTATTTAAGTTAGGTTTAACCCCATTACATATAGGCCATGAAACCCCACCCCCTTCAACTGAAAAACAAGACTACACAAACTACCTTCTATAATAAGTGGTAGTCCTACCACTTTTTACTTGATGAAAAGTCCTGAAAAGATATGCTCAGTAGGAAGACATGGTTTTGGGGGTTTAGATGAATTTTTTTGATCAATACTGCTTGTTGCATTCTAAGTTTTTTGTGGATTTTTCCTAAAGTGAACACTGAAAATAATTTTCCTCATACCTTCAAAAAGAACTCTTATCATATCTGAAATATATTCCTATCATTTATATGCCTCCAAAAATTCTTCCATGCTTTAGAAACAGAAAAGAACCACGGCAAAAGCAGATGCTGACCAATACTATCTCTTATAAACCTGCTTTTGAGATGGACACACCCACATTCTGTTTGCAACTCTGGTTTTTTTTTTCTTGGATATCTTTTATGTTTTGCCTTTTTTCTTTTCTTTTTTTTTTTTTGTTGTTGTTTTGTTTTTAGTTTTTGTTTTCTTTAAGACAAGAGTCTCATCATATAGTTCAAGATGGCTTCTGCTTTCTCCAGTATTTACTAGCTCCTTTAATCTTCTTCAGCCTCTGAATCCTCACTTGGCTTCCTAGCAGAGAGTATACCAACTTAAGAAAGAATCACAGACACACTGAACTTGGGCTATAAATGATCTCAGAAATCCTTGGTGCTGTGGAAGGAACTTGGACCTCCTTTCTCTCATCCAAATTATAAAACACCACTTCCTTTTTCTTCATAGTTGCCTTTCAAAGCACTCAGGTCTTAGCTAATGTGGTCATGGGAAGAGAAGCCTTATAGTGGGAGACAGAAAGCATACCATCTTTGTAGTCAGACTTTCATAAATAAGAGTTTGCAAAGGTACACAAATGGTACTTTTCCTAACAAAAACTAAAAATGATTCTACTTTCTTTCCATTTTCACTTGATGAAATTTTAATTCACTGAAGTAAGACCTAGGTTATGCACTTCTTTTACTGATAAGCAGAAATGTTGAAGGACTCCTGCCTCTGCTAAACAAACTTTACAAGGCAGTCATAACAAAAGACAAAGGAAAACAGACTTTGAAGATTAAAATTTTATTCGCAAGTGCAGTGCAAAAGCCTACTGTCCTATATCCAGGAGCAAGTGACACCTACCCTGTGCTGTACTCTCAGGGACACAGCATATCCCGCATTACGAAAGAGGTCTACAGCATCCTGGTGCAGCAGGTTCTTTAGGTCTTGGCCATTTACCTGTCAAAAATACCAAAAAAGAAAAGTGAGAAAGGCAAGAAACTAAGTCTTATACGTGAACGATTTACTTTCATGCAGCCAGGCAATCCCTTAAAAACAAAACCAAACTCTTTCAGGGAAAATTCCAAAGGCTAGGCATATGGGCTAAGCTCATAAGCACTCAAGAGGCAATTTCTCCATTTTCAAAGTTATGTTTTCCCACAACTACGGATCCATGAACCATCTGAGTGAAGCCAGGTGTAATAATTTGTCTCTCCTCTTTCTGTGCTCATCTTATTTGGTTGTATCGACTCCTGATGCTGTATCTGCACATCATCTGTGGGTATCTGTCTATCTCTATATAAGTAACAACAGGTGACCCTCTATAATATAATCTTCTAGGTTATCCCCTTATCCTTTATATTCCTAATCCTCAGCATTTCTAGCTTCAACCCTGGAAACATAATTCTCTAGCTAATTCTAGTAGGCTTATTTTATTGTGGAAATTGAACCAATTTATATTGGTTCCATGTATATTTCTGTCTTCCTCAAATTTACTAAAAATCTATTTTACTGAAGATAGCAACCTTAACAAATCACTTGAATGTAGGTCATTCCTACTATATACAGGTGACAAATGTGAAGCACTAGCATGCTTTTCAGTGTTAGGAGTCACAAGTGTTTTATATATACTGCAACACATCTCAATTTGCGCAAGATATATATATATATATATATTTAATACATGTCACTGTCACTATTAACAGCATTAGCAGCAAGAATATTTACTATATTTAATAGGTTCTGTGTTTTATATATACTATCAAATTTAATTCCTGTAATAATTATCCTATTGATTTTGTTGATGAAGTAACTGACACAAAGAGAGGCTCATGAGTGTAGAAGCAAGGGCTAGAGATTTTAAATAATGAAATGAAGTTCAAAGTACTCTTGCATTTTACTGTTCTTTTAATGTTTCTATTTTCCCACCCTGACTTGTCAACTGCCCCTTTGCTCAGCTGAAGCTTAAGCTATTTACATTTTTACTCTTCTCACCTAACAGTCTTAAGTTAGGTTTTAGACAAGAGTGGTGGCTCAAGAGGATATGGAGACAGAGCAAGTTTGTGTAGAGTTCTCATTTTGGGGGGAGCCCAGGAAAAGTCCAGTAGGGGAGCTTACATACATTCTCCTGGTCACATCTACATTATTGAGTACAAAAGTAGATATGGACAATAAGAAACACAGCAGGTGTAGAAATTCCCTGTTCACAGTAGATGACACCAAGTAGTCACCAGCAGAAAGAGCAGTGAGGCAGGCTTGATAGCAAGAGTGAGAATAGACAAAGAAGAGTCTAAAGACCCTATAGAAATCTATCTCAGTGTCCCCATCCAAAACCTAATGTCTTCCTTCTCTTACAGATAGATTTATATTGCTCCTTCTACTCTTGAGTCCTGCTAGTATCTTTGATAAGTAGAACTACCAATACTTTTATTTTACAGACTGTATATTTTCAGTAATTATATATTTTTTGGTTACCAACTGAGATTAAACTCAGACATTAACACAAGACATACTATACACATAGCCAACTCTAAAAAAAAAACCTAACCACAATTTCTACCCTTCATACTTCTATTCCTCCATTAGATTAACCCTCTTTATTATCACCAGGGCTTTTAACCTCTTCATATCTTACTTGTATTTTACCCATTTAGGAACTTGGCTGTAAAGTCAACAAAGCACTTTGTAAATTACTGAAAATCTTTTGTCCCGGTTACCTGGCATCTTTCTAGTCCTGGCAATACACTGCATTTACTTTCTTTGCCATTGCTGACTTGAATATTCCTGGAGGAAACCATGGTCACATTCTGGACAAACAATGCACATACATGACTGTTCTCTTTCTTTCACTAAAAGAACTGTTTGCAAGGCTGCTGAGATGGCTCTTTAGCTAATCTTCCAGGGGACTTGGGTTCAGTTCCCAGCACCATGGCAGCTTACAACTATCCATAACCCCAGTTCCAAGTAACATGATGCCTCAATGAACCTCTGCAGACACCAGGCCAACACATGATATACATATGTCCATACACACAGGCAAGACACCATGCACATTAAAAACAAAACAATTTGCTTGTACTGCGTGTACTACCTCAGCATCCATTCAATAATTATGCCCTTCATATGTAATGTGAAACAACATGTTCTCCTGAAGGTCAGATGGAACTTCAAATGCACAGATTTTGCCACTTTCTAGTAAACCACCTTGTATTCAGCTACTATGTTAGATGAACACTTAACTCTCTTAATTATTTTTTCTTGATTCCTGTGTCATTCTCTCTCTTTTTAATGGTAGTTATATATTCTTGACTGTTAAGTATTTTTCCTTTCCAGTTATCTCACATGAGCTTCTTTCACCATTTCTACCACGTTCTCCAAAATAACTCTACTTATGCTTTGGGGTCTGCCAATGTCCTGCTGGATGCTTATACTTAGTCTGGCAAAATCCAATTCAGTATGTCAGATGTTTCTTTACAACTTCCCACATAGCAGAATATCCTAACTTCCTTTTTAATGACACTCCGATCCCTTCATTCAGATGTATAACATTTAAACACTGTAATCAGTTAATCCGCACATGTAATTTCTGTTCTGCGGTCTAACGCCATGATTATATGCTATTTTTTTTCCCTATGGTTGCCATTTTAGGTTGTGGATACTTAGCTAAATTATGGTGGCTGCCTTTTCTGATTTACTTTACACAGTTTCTCATTCCCATCTTAAGTGCTATCTCACAATCCATTTTCCTATAGTTCAACTAATTCTGTTAATAACCATTTTACTGTTTAAGACACAAAAATGGAACTGGTTAAGCAAGGGAAGCATGCACTCTTCACTTACTTTGGTAGTGTGAAAAGTTCTCCAGCACATCTTTTGTTTAATCTCTCACTACCTTCCTTTCATGTGTGATTAACAAACTCTTTCCTTCATCCAATTAAAAAACATGTTTGCACTATGAAATGTAGCTGGCTAATGGCCCAATCTCTGTCACCCCTATGACTTTTTTAGGGGGTTGGTCGAAACAGAGCATTCCTGTATGTAGTATGTAAGAACCAGCTACACCCCCATGAAATTCAAAAGAATATTAAGTTCACTGAGGAATGACTATTCTTGACTAGCTACCCTCCTTCACTCACACACACAGGAGAAATGAGAAACTCGCTTTTACCTTTTCTTTACCATAAAGAATATTCTCCTAGCTTCTAGTATCAAGCCATCTAACCAACACACACAAAATAAACAGTGAGTGAGGAATAGCTAGTTCTCATTCAACTTCGGATCTACTCCTTTATCGTGAACATTTCAATCACAGTGTAAATGACTGCTTAAAAAAACTGTTTACATTGCTTAAATTTTTCCTTTATTATCTTTTGGTATAAATCATTATTCAGTGGCCATAGAAAATTAAACTCCACTTCTTATGAGAAAAGAAAAACACTGCACAATAAATCATGTAGAACATTCCAGAACTGGAAATCAAGACAATATATGGACAATATTTAGGGAGAATGAGAAGAGTAAATCAAGAGCAAATTGTAATAATTCAGAAGAAATTTATACTTAACTCTATTGATCATCTCAAATGGATTGTGCTTGAAAAGAAACACATTTTTTATTCTGATAACTCATAAAATGTTACAATAACATGGGGCATATTTTACAACCTAGAAAGCATTCTATACAGAAACAGGAAAACCCATTAAAAATAATTTTAATTTAATTATTTATATAAATATAATATAAATAATTTATAAAAATATAATATACATATAATATAAATAATATAATTATTTAATTTAAATTAATTTAATTTAATCTACTGGTCTGCCAGTAGATATGGCAGACCACTTAACCTAGCTGTACAAGGCCCTGTATGCAATCCCTAGAACTACAGAACAACTAACTAAACAAAACTAGTTAATAAGTAAACTAATTTTATAGATACAGCATAGCCAAGAATAAGTGAAAACTTAAGAAACTAGCAAGTTAAATAGATGGAGCCATTTAAAATTAATAGCCTACAAAGTTCACTTTAGAGAAGAAAGACACTGTCACGGGCTGGTGAGGCAACAGAGACTATCTGCATGATTTTTTTTTTCTTTCACTCAGTCTTTCTTTGTTGTTTGTTTTTTGTTTGGTGTATGCGTGTACACGCATGCATGTGGCACTCAACTTGGGAGCTGAGAACCCTTAACCACTGAACCATCTCCCAACCCCTTGAGTAAACTCTTATTCCATTTCACTCACACACACACACACACACACACACGGAGAAAGTCAACAGAAAGCTGATTTAGATATGAGAAAGATATATTAGATTTCTTCCTCTGCAGCATACTTTCCGATCTGTATTCTTTATTCTCCCATAGCAGCCTTCTATTTCTGCCTTTCCAAACCTTGGCATTTGCCCCTTTTTATTCACATATCTTTTTCTTAAGTGGCTATAACAGAAATTTGCCATTCTCTGTAGTATGTCTTATATGTGTGTAACATTTAATATCTATGTCTTTGTAATATTTTTATATCTTGAAGTAAAACCCCCTGTGCTATAAGTTTTAAAGCTAGATGACTTATGGGTTTCAGGCATCTACTTTTCTCTTCATTACCATTTCTCTTGCCACCCACTGCACTAGTCTTGGTTCTTTCTGAACTCTTGCGACCTCCCAGTTTGATTCTCTATGAGAAAATGGACCACGTAAGGTTACTCACATCAGTTTATACCTAACAATGTTTTAAAATTCTGGCTTATACTAACTAATTAATCCTTATACTAATTAATTTTATCCTTGATAGAAAGGTTCATATCAGTTTCTTTTTAATAAAGCCATCCATATCATCTACTAGTTATTCAAAATGTAACTTCCTTTTTAGAGTAATTAATTTTACTTATTCATTTACCTTTTAGGAAGACAACATAGTGTTAATTTTAGCATTAGTATTAGTTTTAGCAAAGGATCTAAATTCAAATAAATGAAAGTTTTTAGTTCCCCAACACTAATTATGTGAATTGTAAACCACCTGACTTCATCAAGTCTCAGTTTTCCATAGGTGGAAAATGGGCACAATGATTATACCCACTTCACAGGGTTACCCTACTATTAAACAAGCTTACATTGAAGATTATCATTTTGTGCTTAAATACTGTTCATACTTGGGTTTTTTTGTTTTGGGGGTTTGTTTGTTTGTTTGTTTGTTTGTTTGTTTGTTTGAGACAAGGTTTCTCTGTGTACCCTTGGCTGTTCTAGACTCACTTTATAGAGCAGGCTGGCCTCGAACTCACAAAAATCTGCCTGCCTCTGCTTCCCTGAGCGCTGGGATTACAGGTGTACACCTCTGCGCCCAGGTTAGATAATCAACCTTTAATCAAAACTTTTCAAACAATATGGCTCTCCCTTAAGCCCTACACTGAACCCTATACTTTTCAAGTCTTTTTTCACACAAGAGTATAGGTGCTAGTGTTTGAAGAGATTGTGATATCTGTGTCTAAATACTAACTACACATTATACCTTTAACAAACCACTCACAAGCTTGCTTTTTTTCCTTCTTTCTTTCTTTTTTCTCTCTTTCTTTCTTCCTTTCTTTCTTTCTTTTGTCCTACTGCAAAGTTGGTTTATGTTTTTACAATGTTTTTTCTTTTGAGAGTGGTAGAAAATACCTGCTCCTAAATTTGTTATTGTTTTCATAGCAAACGCACTATCATTTACCCCTATCTTGTGGACTAATATAGAGACTAGAAAAAGCTTAGTGGGTTTAAACATGGCGAAGAGTCATGAGATGGACTAAACTAATGCCATCCATGGTACTATACTTATATATTGGACACATTCTTAAGATTCTCGAATTAATTTGTATAGTTCCATAGCTATTTGCCCTCATTTACGTGTATCTCTTTTTTGAGATAGGCTCTTACTCAGTGATTCACAATTGAACTCAAATGTTCCTGCTTCTACCTCCTGAGTACTAGAGGACCATAGGTATGTGCCAGCATGCCTGATTATGTGTCTTCCTAAGGATCTCTCAAATACTCAGATGTCAAATGAAAAGAAGAGAAGCATTCTTATCTTTCCTTTGTATCTCTGCCTTCACATACTGCTACCAAATGGGTTGGATGACAGAGAAGTAGTCAATAACAGGATATCTAAGAGGACCAGGAGACTTCACTCACATGACTTTTATCACTAATCAACTAAACTCAATTCAAAGGCAAAAATTCAAAACAAAACTATAGTAAAATCTTTTAAAGATATTCCTGTTTTATGGAACTTCCAAATCAAGCCTCTGACATAATACTTAACTCTTAATCAAATCTTGTCTTGGTCTATACTTCATTTACTTCAGCCATTTACCAGTTTGGCCCTTTTGCCCCATTCAGTTCATAAAAATAATAAAATTTTTAAAGACTAAGGGTCTATGAATCCATATGACTGTATTTGTTAGTCAACCTTTCTAAATTTGCATGAATTTTCTGATTTGCTTACTTGTTAAGCCTGTACTGAGCACTGTACTAAGATATGGAAATCTAAAAAGAATCTAATTCCTGTCTTTGTATATATAAAAAAGATAGTAAGAATCCTAACTACTATATATTAAGAGACATTTAGCAGGATGAAATTGGAGTACAACTGATAGATATCCAAACTATACTTCAATTTTTCATCTTAATAATGGGTAAGGAAGGGCCCTGAATTTAAAGCAGAAACTTAATCCTTACCTTCCTTTTTGAAGACCATTAGTAAGGGCTGACAGTCTTCCAAGAAAAGGCACAAATCAGTGTTCAGTCAATAAAAGAAAAGTGGTAACATTAACAAGTTGAAAACTGTAGGCTTTAAATGTCTTTTCCTTCAAACCAGTCTTTTATCTCTACCTGCTTCATGTTTTGTTTTGCTTTTTTAACTAGGGCAAGTAACTTCACATTCTATGTTAAATTTGCCTTGTCTGTCAATCAAGAATAATACTACCCTCCAAGCGCAGTGATAAAGTTGAAGACTGAACAATAGTCTTCCCGTTCAATGATACAATCTAGCTATTTTCATTTCCAAACAGGCAGGCAGGAATTTTCCCAAGGAAGGGGTGAGAGGAGATCTAGGGAGCAAAGTACAGTAAAGGGAGCCAAAGCCATTTCTCACCGAGAGGATCTTATCACCCTCCTGGAGCCGCCCATCCCGGGCCGCAGCCCCATCCTCTTTGATGCGGCTGACGTAGATGCCACTGTCGTTGGAGACATACTGTTGATCTGTCCCACCGACGATATTGAAGCCCAGCCCTGAGAAAATCAAGGAGGAGTGAAGGAGAGGGGGATGAAGAAAAAAAGAAAGTTAGAGAAGAAAGGAGAGAAAAATGGTCTAGTGGAGAGGAGAGACTATCAATTCAGACTGTGAGGTAGCCAACACACAGTCATAAGCAAAGCCAGTAAGGCATTATCAACAAAGGCCAAAGTACCTAGATTGCTGATTTGAACCAGGCAGTACTGAAAGTACATACACCATGATCAAAATGACTGGTTGAGTATATTGAGCTGAACATAACGTGGAAAATAGCAAAGGTGAGTCTTGATAGAAGCGCTTCTGCTGGCACTTGATTTTGATCCTATTGGTGACATTCAGATGACCCAAATGCTGGTATTCCTGTAGTAATGTAGTAGGGTTAGCTGTGCTCATGAAAGGAAGCTTTGTTTTTAACGAATTAGCAAATAAGATGTTACCAATTGAGTGGGAGCATAATTCCTAACTGAAGCCTCTCCAGGTATTCCTTCCATCAAGATTCAGGAATGTTTGTATATGGCAGTGTTTTGGAAGAAGCAGTCCTGGTAGTTTATCTTTTTCTATTTTGCGCTGGGATAGGAAAGTAGTGATATGGTTGTTAGCAGGAAGTCAGAACTAGAAAAGCAACTGCTGCTTTACAGGACAACCAAGTCACCAAATTCATTCTTCTCTTTCTACAACAATTACAACTGACTACATACCTGCACACAGTGATGGCCAAGTTCACTCACTGTAGAAAAAAACAATTTCTTACTGATTAGCGACTGGGCACTTCCTTCCTCCTAGTCCCTGGTAACCACCATTCTATTCTTTGTTTCTGTGAGTTTAATCAGTTGACATGAGTAACAAGTTTCAGTTACAGAAGGAAAGTTCTAGAGAACTACTGTATAAGACTGTCTACCCAAAATAACAGTGGATAGTATGCTTTCAAATATGTTAATATGGTAGATTTAAGCATCATTATTATACTAACTATAGCAAGCAAACAAGTTAGCTGGCTAACTAACATTTTTTTTCATGAAGCAATCACTAAGTTGTGTTGTGGCAAGGATTATACTTTATGAAAATCATTTAATTTCCTTGAAGAATTCTTTAACATATGTAAAAAAGAAAAAAGGGAGAAAGAAAGAGGAAGAGAGAAAAGAGGAAAAAACGCTCTTCTTTATGTAACTATAGTCATAATTTAGGGACACAATACAAAGAGAAGGAAGACAACTAGAAACAATTTTAAAAAACAGTGTGTTGGTGGAATAGGAGTCATACTCATGATCTCAGAAGAAAAAAATTTAATAATATGTGGGCTTTTTTCTAAAATTCTTTCCAGGGTTAGAATGAGGCTGAGACTCAAAGTGCTAACACAACACTACCAAATAATCCACAATTTAATGAGAACTATAACTGACAGGAAGGAAACATCATGATGGTTAGGATTTAACTAGCATATCTTGTACTTCAGTCTTTGCCATCAAGAGAGGTTTGTAGTTATTTGTTTGGGAATTTATGATATACAATGGAAAGAACTACTTCTAGAAGATTATTTTCATAACCTTGAGGGATAACGTAGGAAAACATGAATTCTAAATTACTTATTCATTTTTTATAACTCCCTTATTTAAATTACAATTATAGGTTAAATGAGGAGGGGCTAGTAAGGCAGCAGAAGCCATATCATGGGAGGCCTTGTAAATTTACACTTTAAAATAGTGGCAGGTTTGAGCAAGGAGGCCGAGGCCAATCAGCTTCTCTCAATGCTGAAACAAATCAGAGAAAAGTCTTTAACATCTTCACTATGGCTTGAGTCTCTCCCAAAACAGCTACTGTCTTTGAAGATGTTGGAAATCAAAACAAGTGTCAAGTGGCCAAATGAAACACAGCGATTAGCCAGAGGGACTTTGTTACAGGTTATTAAAAGCTATAGAACAGCATCTAAAAAGTGGTTTAAAAAAAAAGATACCTGAGATCTATTATTTGAAAGTACAGTCTATTATACACCTCTAATACCACATCATAATGGTACATTTATTTAACACATTGTTATTTCTGTTGTAAGTGAACTAAACCACTTACACTGAGAACCCTTTCTTCAACCTTATTTAGGAAAATGAACATATCTATGTCTCAAAACTGGAATGAATGACAGTTACCACAGCAGTGAGTAGTGTATCTTGGGGCTGAAGATACAGCTCAGTGATGCAGCAGTTGACTAGCATGCTGGGCAATAACCAGCACAATCAATAAACAAACAGATAAAAAGCTTAGCCCTATATCTATTCACATAATTCCTAGTCCATTTGTTTAATAAAAATCACTGATCATTTACTAGTAGTTATGCACTGTTAGGTCCTGATGGAGGTGGAAAGCTAACCTGTGTTAAACTGTTCAGTTCTGACTTTAACCACAAATGTATCCTTTTCCCTGTCCCTTTTGGATATTACATGGCAGAAGAATTAGTTTCAAGTTCAACTCCATAACTTACCAGATGTGGACTGAAGCAGTTTAAGTCTGATGATCAGCTTTCTTTTCTGGAAAATAAGGATTACAAATTCTACCCTCTCTCCCTCAAAGGTAATTGTTGGACTCCCATAACAAAATCTGAATTTTTTTTTCTTTGTAAAACAGGATTGTTACATTGGGATAAGGGACTGGGAGTTTCTGTCAACACTAATGACTGTTAAGTTTCCAATTAAGAGTCTGATGGGGCAAGGAGGAATAGATGATGTAGACATAAAAATTCTATTAAGAATGAAAAAACAGAGATTTAAAAATCTACCCATCTAGGAATATAAAAGACTTGATTATAACTCAAATTCACTAAAATTAAGTACGTGTGTAATTTATTTCCTAGAAATCCCCTTTAAAACTAGTTTTTAGGGGCTGGAGGAATGTCTCAGTGGTTAAGACCCTGTCTGCTTTTCCAGTGGACCTGAGTTTGATTTGTAACTCCAGTTCCTGAAGCTGTCTTCTGACCTCTGAGGGCACCAGACTTTCATGTGGTGTACATCCATCCATCCATCCAGACAAAACACTCATATAAAGAACACACAACAAAAAGATAAAATTAAAAGATAAGCTTTTAACAAGAGTAATATTTAAAATCTGCAGTAATTGCATGGCACATGTACCAACCAACTAGAACAGGTATCAGCTGAAAACAAATAGAGGGGATAGAGTAATAGTTTTCTTATACATCAGCTATCAATTGCATCCCAGAAAATCTTTTATAAGCAGAATTGGGCACATATGCTGGTTTACTGGGAATCTTGGTATACAACTACTGCCCCAACATTATTAAAAAGTATTATATGTAGCATAATTATCAAGTATGATTATAAAGATTCACCTTTCAATTTCAAAACACCCCAAACTAGGGCAAATGTGATCATCCTAGCTATAAAAAAAGTAATACATGAATATACTCATTGCAACATACAGTGTACTGGTGTGGAAGTAGCAGTTATCTGTGTTAGAGAATAGATTAAAAGTTAAAATTAGAATAATTTAATAAGAATATACAAAGTAACATAAACAGAATTCTGAAATGTTATTTATAGTACAACACCCTTCTGATGAATAAGAACACATGCAAAACTGTATTACTTATTTAGAAAAAGGCATGCATTGTATTATCTATTTACAAAAAGGACATGTAAAGATATATTGCAGTGAGTACCAATAAGAGGGTACATTGGGTCACATACACAGAGAGTAAGAATAAAATAAGAAAGGGCCACTCTAACAGCCAGTATTCTCTGAAGCTGAAGAGTGTAATTAATTCAGTCTCAGCACCAAAGGTCCCAAATGTGTTAGAGGTAAAGAGAAAACTAAAAGTGAGACTCAACCAAAAAGAGGAAGAAACATTACATTATAAATTCTAGTTTTAAAGTGCTAATAAACTTTAAGACATGGCAAAATTAAAATGAGTTACTTAGTCTTTTTCTTACATGAACACACGTAAAATAATTATTAAAAAAACAGAAAGTATGACAAGATATGTGTCATTTAAATTATATAATATGACAACAAAAGGGGCTGGAGAGATGGCTCACTGGTTAAGATCATTTGCTGTTCTTGCAGAGGAACTGGGTTCAGTTCCCAGCAGCATATGAGAGCTCACAACCATCCATAACTTAGTTTCAGAGGATCTGACTCCCTCCAGGGCCATCAGGTATCCATGTGGTACACATACAAATATGCAGGCAAACACTCATACACATAAAATAAACATAAATAAGACTCTTAAGAAAGAAGAAACCAGACAGTGTTAGTGCACACCTTTAATCCCAGCACTTAGGAGACAGAGGCACACAGCTCTCTAAGTTCAAGGCCAGCCTGGTCTACAAAGTAAGTTCCAGGACAGACAAGGCTGCTCAGAGAAACCCTGTCTCAAAGCAAAACAAAACAAAACAAAAAAGAGCAAGAAACAGGATAGGAGCCTAGCATAGAGGGCCTCTGAAAGACTCTATCTAGCAGTGTATCAAAGCAGATGCTGAGACTCATGGAAAAACTTTGGGCAGAGTTCAGGGAATCATATAAAAGAAGAGAGAGTTAGTAAGACCTGGAGAGAACAGGAGCTCTACAAGGACCAAATATATCTGGACACAGGGGCTTGTCGGAGATTGATTTTTCCAACCAGTGACCATGCATGGATATAACCTAGAACCACTGCTTGGATGTAGCCCATGGCAGCTCAGTATCCAAGTGGCTTCCCTACTAAGGGGAACAGGGACTATTTCTGACATGAACTCAGTGGCTGGCTCTTTGACCACCCCCTCCCCCGAGGGAGGAGCAGCCTAGCTAGCAACATAAGAGGACATTGCAGCCAGTCCTGGTGAGATCTGATAAGCTAGGGTCAGATGGAAGGGAAGGAGGACATCCCCTATCAGTGGACTTAGAGAGGGGCAGGGAGGAGATGAGGGAGGGAGAGTGGAATTGGGAGGGAATGAGGGAGGAAGCTACAGCTGGAATACAAAGTAATAAACTGTAATTAATATAAAAAATAAAA